GGGGATGGCGCGCCGAAACTTCCCTATCGACCCTGCCCTGAGTGTGATAGGGGGCGGTTGCCCCAACCCCCCAATCGGCTGTACCCTGAGCGTGACTAAGGGTGGCATCGCAACCCTCCGATCCGCCCTGCTCTGTGCATGACAGGGGGCAGCGCCCCAACTCCCCCAATTGGCCCTGCTATGAGCCCGACCAGGGGCTGCACCTAGGGATTGGGCCTGCCCTCAGCCACCAGAGAGCAGGCCTAAGCCAGCAGGTCATTATCTCCTGAGGGGTCCCAGACTGCTAGAGGGCATAGAATGGGCTGAGGGACCCCCTCTCCCCCCCAGTGCACAAATTTTTGTGCACTGGGCCTCTAATATATATATATATATATATTTTTTTTTTAAACACACAAGTAAATAAATAAACCAGTAGTTTTCATTTAAGAGTATTAAGCTGTACAAACAATTGAAGGAACTGCCTGGGAGGTTTGTCCTCTACCGCCCATTTTCTCTCGTCTTTCTGCCCTATTTCTATCTCTCCCTCTATCCTTTTCTCTCTCCCTCTTCCTCTATCAATATTATTTAAACATTTAAGTAAATTACTTGCCAGGTAAAAAAAAATAAACAACAGGTGAATTTCAACTTTCTTACTTAACCTTACTACATACACACACACACACCCCTTTAGGACTGACTTCCTTCTCACTTTTCCTGCTTGGAGAAGGGTTCTAGGGCTAATACCAAGGGTTCCATTTAGACACTGGAGGTTAACCAGGATAACAGTCCATACCCATTACTCCGTGGCATTAGCTCACTGGCACAGGTTTGTCTCCACCGTCCAAGAGAAAACTAGAGGGCATCAACCCATGTCTCATATTTGGATGCCCCACAGTGCAAGAGTCTACAAAATGTGTTGCACAAAGTGGGCACTAAAAAAAGAAATGTTGACGATTAAGAAAACATGCATACTGTACATATTTAGAAGGAGAGCTACAAAATTTCAGAATGCAACAGACCACTTTTCTAATTCTTAAACATCCCAAAGAGGGTGGAGATTACACAGCTTAGTGCCACTTTGTGTCCAAAACCTTACGTGTGGCCTTTAAATAACCGATCTACAACTCAATTTTCTCATCTGAACAATAGGGATAATAAGAGCACTAACTCCCATGGTTTTGAAAGGATTAAAGAACTCGGTATGCCTGCAACACTACACAACCCATAAGGGTTAGCTACTGAAAGACTATTCTGATAAAAGTGAGGCCATCAGTCACACAAAAGAGGCCAAAAACGTAAAAGAAATTATTCTAGAAAAGATAAATTCAGGGGTTGGCAAACTTTTTTCTATAATGAGCCAGATACTAGTGCAAATATTGTGGTTTGTCAAGTCAAGAGGCAACATCCACAGCCCTTGGAGCAATTATTCCCCCTGAAAGGCTAACAGGTTCTTTCTTTGTTTACATTTTCCACTTTAAAACTTAAGGGCCATTCTTAGGACGCAGGCCCATTCCAAAACAGGCTGGATTTGGACCCAGGGCCACAGTCTGCCGACCACCGGATGAGATGATAATGATGATAACACAAGTCGGTGCTTTTTAAAGGCAACATAAGGGAAACGTGTATGAGTGGATTCAAGTTGAGTGAAAACCGTGCTGCCCCCAAACTTTTAAAATCCAGACATGGCCGTCGTGGTGGGGAATAGGTTCAGGAGGGGAAGGGGCCGCAGAAGCCAGCGAGACCGTTCGCTGCACGGCTCTCGGTCCGGCCCAGCCCTCGCACACTTACTCCCAGCAGCGGCCCGCGGCCGATCACCGTCTCCCCGGGCGCCAGGGCCACCCGGGGGCCGCCGTCCCGCGGCTGCAACTCAAAGCCCCCGGACATGGCGGCGAGGATCAGGCCCCTCCGCCAGGAGACGGTCCCAGCAGCCGTTTCCGCCTTCCTGGGACACGCGCGGAGCCTGGACAGCCCCCACCCCCCAACCCCCGCGCCCCGGGAAAACACAGGGCGGGGAGCTGAAATTGGCCGGGGTGTGTCAAGTTCTCCCGCAGCTGGGGCCCAAGTGACGCGTCCCCAGTCTTTCCTCTCCAATCGGACTAGTGATGCAATCGAGGATTCCCTCTACGCATGCACTTCAACTACCATTTAAAACCCGCGGGAGAGCCCGTACACTTCCCCTCCCACCGCCCACCTGGCTGGGAGGACACCGGACCTTGTAGTCCGTCGCGCAGTCCTCCTCCTGCCTGGCACAGCGGAGATGCCCTAGTAAAACTACCGATCCCAAAAGGCAATGCGCGCTCCTCTCCACGCCAACGCAAAATCAGTTGGCAGGGTCTGGCTAGAGTGGGCAGGGCCAGGGGACTTGGGGCAGGGGGATGGGAACAGTGGCCAGAGGATTCAAACCGCTGGAGGAGAAGCCGGCACCATCCAGCAGGTAAGGTCATTCCTTCCCATCCAGCCGGCGTCCAGCCCGCTGTCTCGGGGGGCGGATCCCTGAGCCAGCGCTGCCTCCGCTCAGCGCCGCATAGCTGAAGTGACTGCCGGTGCTCAGAGTTGTTACTATCAACTCTGTTCTTTGAGTTGTCAACTGCAGCCTGCGTGGGGCACGCAAGAAGGGGGGCTCAGATGGGACGCGGGGTCACTTCTTCCGACTTGCGGGGTCTGGACAGGGTGGGGGCTCCCCGAGCGCCGGGTGGCGTCTCCCCGAGCGCGGGGAGGTGTCCGCTGCCAGGTCTGTCCTGCCTCCGGATCCATCTCCGTCCCAGTGACACCTGAACAGGGGCGAGCCCTCCCTAACTCGAGAGGTAATTCGGCAGTTTGGTTCGTAAAGAACAGGCAGAAAGGGGATAGTTTTCTAGACATCCAGGCAAAACTGGACTTAGAAGAAAGATGTCTAGTGGGATTTTAGTTTCCTCACCAATGTACCCCCCCCCCCCCCCCACCCCCGGATGTTAAATTCAAAAGCCTTCTTCTGCCTCCTGTGGAGTAACTAAGAGAAGGCGTATTTTATTCCCCAGTGAGATCCTGGAAGTGGTAACAAATAGCAATGTTTTCCTAATATGAGATTCTTTTCAAGAATATGGTGGTTTGGCTTTGGTTTGTTTTGATGATGAGACAGGGAGGTGCATCACAAAAACTTGGGGATGACTCATAAAACTTGTGTTTACCCCTTTGGTTTTTTACTTCCCCAAAGCCTCAAGAGAAAGTCCTCTGTTGCATGAATACAGGCCCTAAAATTCTAACCACCAGTTACTTTGGATCATAAACAACCAGCTGAACGGGAGTAAATGTGGCCTTGGTAAGTCCAGAAACTTGTAGGCGAGTAGCTCATCTAGAAAGGGAAATTGTCATGAGCTAAGTTAAAAGAAGTATTTAGCTGTATTTCAAACCCCTCCTCTAACACCATCACTCTCTATTATAGAAGGAAGTGCAAAATGAAATAAACCAATTTTAAGTAAGTATAAGCTGTCTTTATATGCAAAAAAAAAAATAATAATATTAGCTGCATGCTTTCAACTGATTTTGGAAGCCTACACCATACACCTTAGGGAAATTAGCTGAAACTGGACTTTTTTTTCAGTTAGGAAAAAAAACACCTTTATTCATTATTTTAACTTATAATTACTTGTACACAAAACACTTTCAATATAGTAACTGGTGACAGAAGTAAAGATACAAGATTAGTTTTCTGTTTACTTGTTTTTAACATTTTATTGAATTTATTGGGGTGACATTGGTCAATAAAATTATATATGTTTTGGGGGTATAATTCTACAATTCTATAATATATCATCTGTATATTGTATTGTGTGTTCACCATCCCAATTGTTAGTTAAAAGCTGTACCTAGCTGAATTATAAACATTGTTTATAGTGGTTGGTCACTGTTGCTTGATAGCCTCAGTGACTATTATCCTTGCTTCATAATTAATTGTGCAAGTAGGATAACTTCAAGAGACCATTTCTAAAATACTCATCATGAAGTTGAATATTTGAGTCTTTGTGTCATTGTAACCCTCTTATTCATTTCAGATAGTATTTGTGTCAAATGTGAGTACCTTCCCATTAGGCACAAGTTGATAAACAATTATTATCCTATCTAATAAAAGAGAATCTTGGTAATTAGCTGTACCTCCACTACCCTTCCCATTGGCTAATCAGGGCGATATGCAAATTAACTGCCAGCCAAGATGGTGGCCGGCAGCCAGGCAGCTTGAAACGAACATGAGGCTTGCTTGTTTCAGTGACGGAGGACTCCAACGTTCCCCACCTGCCGCTGCCGGCCTCTGAGCTTGCTGTTTGAAACATTGTTACAAATATAGAAGCTAAACAAAACCCCAGAAAACCTGCTTTCAGCCAGCCGGGATCTCAGAGCTGGAGTTGAAACAGTGTTTCGATTATGAATCCCAAACAAACCAGATACCTGCTTTCAGCAGCCGAGGCCTAAGAGCTGGAGCCAAGCCTCTGAGCTAAAGCTGGCCCAGAATAAAAAATAAAAAAAAATTT